TCCGGGGGGGGGGGGGGGGTTGACGGCCGCCCCGTCACCGGTCGATGTGTTGAAGTGCATATCGAGTGGACGCCGGGCAGCAGTAGCGCTGTTTTTAAAAAACGTCGGCGTGTCAGGAAGAAATATGACTTAATTATGATAGCGACTGGAGAGGGGATTTAAAAAATGGTGGTTGCTGAATTAATTAGGTCTGAGTTAGGCTGTTTGGAGAGTTCACAGCACTCCCCATAAGTAGTTTCTATTTATCTGCACGTGGAAAACGCAGACTATGATAATTCAGAAGAAATAAAGACAATTGCTTGAAAATTCAGGTTCTATCTGACTCCAAGGACTACAGATAGCATCCTTACTATGAATTGGGTGTCTGGAATGATACCAAGTGACTTTTCTGGCAGCTGCCAGCACACTGGGTGTATGTGGCATTCACAAGCAGAGACTATATGGCTAGTGTTTTAGGTACCGACATACAGCTGTTCCCTGGGCTATGCTTCATCGTACAATAAAAAAAAAACTAGTGTATGCAATAAACATAGTCTTTAAGTGGTGGAAGACAACGCCAATATTCTACAACAATGCTTATATTGGGTATTTCACAGATCTGTTAACAAATTTTTTTCTTAAAATTGTCTGTGGCAAGGTATTAAGAACATGCTTTCTTCCATTATCAGTGTATAAAACACATAGAAATTAGGATACCCTATGACTTAGCTGGTTGAAGGCACCATCACAAAGTGGAACTTTATTTTTCACATGTTCACCTGCTGGAAAATAAGTGTGCTCTTGCTTGTGCTGTGTCTCGCTGTCACGCTGCTGGCTGGCTGTTGTCAGACGCTGGGATCCAAGCACTGAGGCCCTCTGAGAAGTGAATCTATCAGGGCAACTCTGCTATCTCAGAGTATTTCAGTGACCACCCCTGCCATCTGAGGACTGCCAGCTTGTGAATAAAGCATGCTTAAATATTAATTTAGAGTCTAAGTTTATGCTCCCACCTTTGATTATAAGACTTTTCTGAACTTCTGAATTAATATTTCTAATTAAACATCTAAGAAAACATGCTTTCTTTGATGCATGGCATCACTTTATAACTTTAACCTTACATCATTCCTGAAAATAGAATTTTATTCTGAAAACAATATATGGTGCATAGTAATCTAAATCTGTCATCAAATATGAAGGTTATGAAAGGTATGTGATTTGACACGCCTCAATAAGAATATATGTTGCATGTCATAATAACCTATACACTGCTGTAAGCACCTCTGACAGATTTTATATGCCAAAGACAGCTGGGTGTGAAGAAAGAGTGGCTGTTTATCAAAGAATGACATTATCCCCAGTCTAAACTTGGGACCTGTTAACTTTTGGTAGCACATCAGACAATCCCTGTTCTTTTCCTTGGATTATGAATACAGCTTTTCATACCAGAGACTTAGATTTAAATGCAATAGGAACAACAGACATGACCTTTCCCACTAATCTTGTGCTAGAACAGATTTGTTTAGAAAAGTGCATAAAAATAACTACAAAAATACAAAATAATATGGGTTTTTTTTTCCTGTATTTCAGTGCAAAATAACTAAAGAGCATGAGGATCAGAAACAGATAGGTTTTTTCCTTAACCTTTTTAATAAAAGACCATAGGAATTTTTTTGTTTGTTTGTTTTAGGCTGGAAACATACTTTTTTTTTGGAAAAAAAAGTTCAATTCTCAATCTAAATTAGAAGATTGACCTTTGACCAATAACCTTCATTTTTTTCTTTTCCTGAGGATGTGAATACACAGCAACACACGCACATGCTGTGTGCACAGGTGTCAAAAGCACCTTTCCTAAGGTGCTTTTGCTATTATTTGTGCAGGCTATTATTTGATAGACAGTATAGTATCCTGAGTTAAAAAGTAGTGGTACCCAGAACGCTGACTAATTTTTAACTATTGTATCATACTTCTTGAGGGTCCGAAAAGATTTTGAGGTCCTTTATCAAAGAGGAAGTGATGGGCAGGTGATAAGCAGAACCACTGTAACGTGCAGGAAAATTCAGGATTTTAGCATGGTGTGTGTAAATCCCTGTGTCTTTACAATGAGCTGGAGAACTTGGCCATTTAGGTTGGACGAATTTCTCTGGGAAGGGTGAAGGAGCACGCCAGATGCTCGCGTTCTGCAGACACAGACATCAACCCCCAGCAAGGTTAGAAACTGTCTTGGCCGTAACTTCTTTGGAGATCTTAGGCTAGTCAGAAGGTGAATTACTCAAATAAAATTGAAACCATTTCTATCAGTGGTAATTCAGTCTCATAAAATTTATTTCTTAGGCAATTCATTCATTTGACATTGATAACAATATCGTTTTATTATTCTATTTTTTCCTGTGATCTCAGCTTTCTTGTTGTGTTTGCCCATCATTAATTAGCCTATTTAGACTGTAATATATCAGTAACACACTTAGGCCACTGTGTATTTGTTAGATACTGATTTTTGTGTAACTATGACACATACAGAGAACCGGTGCCTTTTATAGCATTACATTGGTCACGAACTGTGGGAGCACAGATAACGTCTGATAACAAATGTGCAATGCGTAAAAAGTTTCCCTTTTGAGCTGCACGAGACTCTCTGGCAGCAGTTCTGGCTTTGTAATTGTGGTGATAAGTGGAAGGTCCTTACTTTAATTAAGGAAAGTGTCGTCATAATGCGTGCTTCTGGATGGCGACTTTTGGATGCTCTACATGTCTCAGGGTCTTTGGTGGGGATTTTGTATTCCCGCATTGTTCTTGATAAATGCAAGGGCTTTGTTTTCCAGTGGCAGCTGCTACGATTGATTCGTGTGCTGGGACTGGAGGGGACACTGCTGGCAGGAGGTGGCTCTGGCTATTCTCTCCCCTTGGCTGACGGGGAACTGACCTGGCCAGGAGCCAGTGGAACAAACTTTTCTGCTCCCACTGCTGCAAGGGAAGAATTAATAGTTTTGGCATGTTCGTACAATCTTTGAATGCTGAACTCCATTCCATGTGTGTTTCCAGTCTGAAGTGTCACTCTGTTTCTATCTATGCCTTCTTCAGGAGATTAGCTTGGTTAGGGGTGGTAAAGAACATTATCGCCGCTGCTAGGATTACCTTTGTTGTGAACATTGTGTTAGGACCTGAGACACCTTAACATTTAATTCTCAGTCCAAAAAACTGATACCCTCTACAGTCATGTCATCAGTCACCCAAGCGAGTTACTTATCTGGAGTCTATTGCTATTTTTAATTATAAACACCATGTTACGGCCCCTAAATATGGGAATTTTTGCATCTTGTTGCAAGCTCCTAGGCCATTTTCACTTCCATTAATAAATTGCTTCATTCTAAGATGGCAGAAAATGACATTGCTCCTATTTTTACCTTTAACTCACATAGATTCATGCAAATTTGAAAGTGAAGCCCTTGGTTTATCCAGAAGTTATCAGAGCAGCGGCAACTGCAGAGTAACCCTGAGGCTCTACAGATGTCTGTCGTACCTTCCCCAGTGATCATTCCTCCAGGTTCAGTTCTTACATGTATTCAGGTTTGCCTTCTAACCCTGTTCTCCAAAGCATCCCAGCAATCCCTCTCAGCTTCACGTCACCTGTACATTTAAGAAGTACATTATCTACTCTGTAGTCCAAGATATTTCTAAACATAGTGAGTTCCAGAAAGGAGCGCGTGGAACTCTCTTTGGTTTGTTCTTCTGTTTGGATAGAATATCACTCGCATCACTGAGAAGTGTTTTCTGGCTGTGCACGTGTGCTGTTAGGAGTGTCATTTATGTTATGATTCCCTAGCCTGATGGAAAGAAGCAGTGGCAAAATTTACTAAAGTTAACATCCACTGCTGTTCACGAAATCTACTACAATGGAGTAGGAAGAAAAATAATTTGGCTTGACATAATTTAGCAATTCCATTCTGGTAACTGTTTATCTTTAAGTAGATTTCAGTGCACACAAAGTGTATATTTGTTTTAATAGTTCCTAGGAACTCAAGTTAAACTGAAAGATCTAATTATTGCCTTCTCCTTATTTTCCTCTTTTAACTTACACATTGTCATGAATGTACGTAAGTAACAGGAGCCAGTTTGCTACTAGCTATATACTTTTGAATATAAATATCCATACTCATACATACACACTAAAAGGGTTAACAAGCAAGGAAACAAGTCTCTAAATGTCTGAAAACTGACCGATGTGGCTATGGATGGTCCCAGAAAGTGCTGGTAGTGTTCAGAGACATCTTCTACTCACAGTGTGTCCAAAGGACAGTTCAGACATGACCTAACTCTGCTTGATGAGTCTTAGGTGGGGGAATGCTTCCGTGGCTATTGCCAACTATTTTAAACCCTTCTGGTGTCACGCAAAGTTATGGTCAATGGTCAGCGTGCTAGTGAATTCATCTCGGTGTGCTCCATGCATCTGCTTTCAGGAGTTAGCATCTTGCTGCACTTGGTAGTCCAAGTAGGTGAGCATTCTTGAAGTCTTGCATTTAGTGTCATATCTAAAACCAACCTGAGCATATCTGGAGAGATGACATTTGTCTTGGAGTCAAGTATCTTTGA